GTGAGAGAAAAAAAAAAAAAAAAAAAAAGAATATATATATATATGTGTATAACTGAACGATACTGTCAACTATACTTCAATAATTTTTTTTTTAATTTAAAACAAATCATTACAGTCAGGACTTTCACTCGTGCGCTCCCACATATTGAACTCCTTGATGAATCACTTCTCCCAGTAGGGTCATTGTTAGGGCATGAGGTGTTTTTTGTATGCTTGTTTGTTTAATGAATCACTCTTATTAGACTTTTCTTTGAGTTTCAAGCTGGCAGATGTGTAGGAAGAGTTTGCAAGTTTGCCTATGCCTGAGAGCAAACATGAATCTAGAGCTCTCTGAGAACCCTCCTCTGTAATAAGCTATCTGATTCTCAGTTTCACTAATTTTCACCAAAATGTTTGAGAAATAGTGAGGCATTACAAAATGAAAATCAGCCTTATGCCAGTAATCCTACTTTACAGCACCCAGTCCTTAATCTTGCCATCTTTATTTGTGTCTCATATCCCTTATTAGAAGATCAGAGGGACTGTGGCATCCAGTGGGGGGGCCAGTGAAACTTGGCTAAGTAGCTTTTGTCAAAGGACAGCCTTGTTATTAATACACAGGAAACATAGAATCTGGCCTCTCGATGGTACTCTGAAAGTTTCTGTCTTCAAAAAAATATTCCTACTTACCAGAACCTTTGTTTCACCCCTCTACTTGAGGTCATATTCTTACATTTTAACTGAATAAACCAAACTTTGGGTAACCAAATTAAAAGACTCTTAGAAATTCTCATTTAATCTAATAACATTAGTTATATAATGATCCAATGAAATCTTCAAAATATTTCTAAACACACATATACAACAACTGTTATTAGACCAGGGGTTTTAATGCCAGCATTATTTTCTTGAAGTAGATTAGTCATTCAAAGAGTCATAATTCTTTCATATTACCAAGAAAATGAGTGCATTAAGTCAAGAAAACTAGTGCATTGGGAAATCAGAATATCATATTCAAGCTCTTTGCAAATTCAGGTTATAATTATATTTATATATTTGTAGACTGAAGTACATATACATGTGCATATACAGTAAAGTGAAATTTGGAGTCAGATAAACCTGAGTTCAAAATTCTGCTGTTAACATACAATATAACCCAGAAAAATTATTTTAACTCTCTGAGCTTCACCTAAAAAAAGGAGAAATATTAAAAATAGCTAAAAATATTATACAATTACTACTATATGCAAGATCAAGACTAAGAGTTTTAGAAGCATAAGAGAAGTAATATTACCCTTCTTTCACAGATGAGGAAACTGAGGCAAGGGGAAGTTGAGTAACTTGCTCAAAGTCATAAAACTAAAGCCTGTGTTCTTACCACTAATCTAAACTGGCTATTCTGTAGACTTTTCATAATAACTGAAGACAATATATACAAAGCATCTAGTGTAGGGCATAGCCCATAATATATCCTCAATAAATTTTACAAATACTATTGATTAATAAATGACAAATAAACAATAACAGTGCTTAGTTTGATTAACTGATATATATGATTAAGTTTCTTCAGTTTTCAAGGTCAAATTGTTGGTAATGCACTTCTTACAAATAAAGTTACAAATATTTATTGAGCACCTATGTTGTGACAGGCATTTGGCTCACCACTGTGGGCCTGGTGCTATGTGTAATAGGCATGATCTCTACCCTCACAGATTTACAATGTACAGGTTATTGGAGTGGTCTAAAGGCCACTGAGAAGAACTATAATGATCTCTTAAAGAGATCAGTCATTACATTGGGATCAAAAGTGTCATTCATACATCCTGCCTATTTGCTGACGAAGAAAGCCAGATCAACGATGGCAGCAGATCTTAGCAAATGCACATCTACAAGAGGAATTAGATGATATTATTCATTACAATGAGCCTTTTTATTTTGCCCTTTGAGAAAGTTAAAAAATTTCTTTTTGTACATTTTACAAATGCCCATGTTATCATTTCCATTTTCATTCGACCTGCATAGAAGTAACTTTTGCATTTCTGTGTTTAATTTTAGGCTCTTTAGATCAAAGCACTTGTGTCTCTGTTATACAATACTATTTTAAGGTCTATCTTTATGTTTAGGACCCTAGTCTATGATTTAAAAACAACAACCAACCCCTCCCTCAAGATCTCTCTAATCATGTATTATTTTTTCCAATTTCTCCAGAAGCTTCCCTTTCATGTGAGATAGATTCCAAAATTAAATCTGTACTGTGGCACACTATCTATCATACTGCTTATAGTCCCTTATTCCCTGTGTTATTCCATCACCAATTATGCAGTCCATAAGGTATTCTATCATGTGAGAAGTACATGTAGCACCTGTTTATTTGCCAATACAGAATGTGATGAGTACATGGTACAGAAAGATTTTTTATGCTAATATCCTCTCATTTACATTAGATTATCCCTATCCTTTTCCTGTTTTTCAATTCTGCTTGTATGGTAAACAGTCTGCTTTTCCAACTAAACTCCACTGAAATAAAAATGACTAGAATGTCACCAAGTGTCTCCAAAGCACCACAACACAAAAACAACTCAGGCTTTCAGTAGTATACTGATCACATTAATCCTAATAATACCAGCAAAATGAGCAGGTATAAATTCTTACTATATGATATGCACTGCCCTGGGAAATTTTCATATGTTATCTCATTTATTATTTAAAACTCCATGACATAGGTAGATGTCATTATCTCTATTTTGTAGATGAGAAAGCTGAGGGTACAGAGTTTGTTACTTACCCAAAGTCACACAGCTACTAGGTGGCATAGCTGTGATTTAAACCCATACCTGCCTGACCCTGTCCTCCCCTCACTTTACACTGAGAATGAGGGAGAAGAGTAAAGTGGGATGAAAGGCAGAGGGAAGAGTGGACAGATGGAAGGGAGATGGATAATGGAGTAGAATGTACTTAATTATTATTAATTCATTAAGCAAATATCCATTGAGCACCTAGTATTGCCTAGGCATAGTGTCTACTCATAAGACAAGTTCCTTACCATAGAAAGGCATGTTTGGTTTAGAGAAGTAGAATCACCAACAAACTATTTTAGTCCTCACAAAGGGCAATAATCAATACATGCCAAAGTATGGAGAGAGAGGGTGGGGCTCTGTCTGGTGGAGTTGATGAGTGCTTCCCAGATAAGGTGCCTTTGACCAGGAATGTAAGAAATACCTCAGAGTTCTCAAGCTGACTAAGGGTTGAAAGGCCAGAGTAGGTGGAGATGAAAGCAGGGACAACACCACAGAAGTGTGGCACGTGGAGCCCCAAGTGCTTCAGAGGGCTGCAGAGGAGGATGCATGGTGAAGATTGTGGGAACAAGAGCAGAAGGACAGGTAGCTTTGACATCACATTGGGATTGGGCACTAGGAAAGAGAACAAGAAGGGGAGAGGTATCATATGGGGGGGATGAGACAGGTGAGGAAACATGGAACTGAATGGGACCACATGGGGTTGCCAGTGCCAATGACCACTCTCCATGGCATAACATATGAAATTATCTTAAAATCCATTAAATTGTGTGCATAGCCCATATCGTGGGTTATGATAGTGGGCTGCCAAAGAGGTAAGTTTTGATGGAAAGAAAAGTGATAGATACAAAGGTAATACTGACCCTCTATCAGAGCATTGGGGTCCAAGGAAAGGAAAGTGTAACCTCAAGAGAATTAGGATCTTAGGTAGAGAGGGAGACAAGGTATTTCTGAGCTGAAAATGGCTGCCAAAGTAGAGGCAGGTAGCATGGAGACAATTGGGCTACTGAGTTGTGCTTTCAGCATCACTGGAGCTAGATATCAGGCATAGGCCAATGAGTAGAATGAGGAGACAAGATGATAGCATCATTATGTCTATCTTAAAAATTAATCAAGTGGTTCAAGTGAAAAAAAAAACCCTTTGACTGCAACATAGTTTGAGAAAATATTTAATTGGGTAGGCACAGTTAAATATTATCAGGATTTGGGGCACTATTTTATTGCTCCTTAGATTTATATCTTTTCTGTTGTGTGGCAAGGTGTTGAGTGCCAGCCAAGCTTTCCTTGATCTGGCAGCTTAATGGGCAACTAGGCTACAACACATGTCTGTCAGATCTAGATTCTGCCTGTAATTTCTCCCCATATATAAGAAACTGGATTTCAAGAAAAGGACTTTTTGAACCCTAAATTTGTCAAGAAACTCTTGTCAAGAGTATAGCTCTGTTATGTACTTATGTGTTATGTACTTACGCTACAGCGGCAAAATAAATTCAATAATCTCTGATTTGGTATTCTGTGGAACAAAATTTATAGTGGAATGAAGGACTCAAAAGATATTGCTTATGACAGCTTATAATTGGACTTTGTGCAGGCATCATTTCAACTTTAGTTCTTTTGACAAAACAATTTTTCCTTCTGGTTTCTACTACTTGTCTGCCTCTATAGATTATCACTCACAGTGCATACAATTCGACTGGGAGAGCTATGCTCAAGAGCCATGGAGTAGAGATAAGTCTGTAATACATGCTTCCAGGTAACCATTTTAGAGTGTAGTAGCCCCAAGGCCACTATAAAGTTCAATGTTGAGAGCCTGGACTTTGGTGTCACACAGACTAAAGTTCAAGTCTCAGATCTATATTTGATAACTCTAAGAAATAATGAATGCAAAGCACTTACCCCAGTAGATACTCAACAAATAGAAGCTATTATTACTTTAAAATTAGTTTAAAGCACAACACAAAAGGGAAAGCTAGAGCCCAAGTATGATGGCTCCTCACTTCAAAGGCATAAATTCCATCTTCCTGTCAAATGCAGATACCTCTGTCAACTTCTGATGAACTCACCTAAACTGGAGCCATGAACTCGCGTGAAACTCTTACTGGTTCAAGAAACTGACATTTTATGTGTCAATTTCTTGGGTTCCCCTTTCTCTTCCATATTATTCTATATAAAGTGGTCTAAACAGTAAGAGATTAATAAGTAAAAACTGTAGATTTTTGCTCTTACCATTTTTGTCTGCTCTCCTCAGTATCTGGAAAAGAAAAAGGAAACATTTTATCACCATTTTTGTAAGTATTGCAGCAAACATTATACTCCCACATAATTTACCCATTATTAAATGAAAGAAATTCCAATTTAAAATAAAGTTTTCCCAGTTGAAATATTTCTTTACAATAGTAAAAAATTAAAAATACCCAAATATCCATAAACAAGTGGATGGACAAACAAGTCATGGTGTATCCATACAATGAATACTCCTGAGCAATAAAAAGAAATGAGCTCTTGATGCATACAATAACTTGGATAGATCTCAAAGTAATTATGCTGAGTAAAAAACCTAGACACAAAAGAAGATATGTTTTTCCATTTATATAAAATTCTAGAAAATACAAATAGTAACAGAAAGCAGATTAAGGGTTGTGTAGGAATGCAAGGGCAGAGAGGGCTGGATTGCAAGAGGGCATGAGGAAACTTTTTAGGATGGTAGATATATTTATTTTCTTGATTGTGGTAAAAGTTTCACATATATATAAATATGTGAAAATGCATCAACTTTTCACTTTAAATATGTGCTATTTAATGTAAGTCAATCATATAATAACATGGGGAATAAACAGGAACAAAAATAATAAATTGTGGATAAATAAGAGCTCTTGCGTCTATAGTATATCTTACTTTTATGAGTTAATTTATTATCTGGGACTATCTTAAATTGTCTTTGATGAATATGAACTGCTTGACCATCCAGTATCTTTAGTAAAGATTTCTAATTTTCTTCTGGGAAACCAGTCTTTCCTCCAGTCTTGGACCATGTGTTCCAGGGTTGGGCAGAGTACTCAAGCCTAGTAAACAGAGTGTCATACTCCTCTGGCTACAGTGATTACTCAGGCATTAGCACAATAAAGCCAATGAAGCCATGGTTTTCCTTGAGTTGTCAAGAGAGAAACACTTTATCTTCTGTTGACTTTGAACCTAGGAAAATATAGGTAAGGAGCTGCTTTGTTGTAATTGTATATGTCACGGGTTGAACTGTGTTGCCCCAAAACAAATGTTGAAGTCCTAATCCCTAGTAACTGTGAATGTGACCTTGTTTGGAAATACAGTCTTTGTTGTAATCAAACTAAGACCTTACTGGATTGGACCCTAAATCCAGTGGTTGGTGACCTTATAAGGAGAGCAATTCAGAGATGCAGAGACACAAAGAAGAAGGCTATGTGATAACAGGGGCAGATATTGGAGTGATACAGCTGCAAGCCAAGGAATGCCAAGGGCTGATGGTCACCACTAGAAGCTAGGAGACAGGCATGGAACAGATTCTCCCCTAGAGCCTTCAAAGGGAGTATGGTCCTACCCACACCTTGATTTCACCCCTCTAACATCCAGAACTGAGAGAGTAAATTTTGTTGTTTAAACCACCATTTGTTTAGTACTTTATTATAAAAGCCCTAGGAAGTTAATATAATATACAACCTGGAAATAACTAACATTCAAGAAAGGAGTATCCAGAGGCTGAGAGAAACTGGATCTTGATGACACTCTCTGAGCCCCTGATCAAGCCATCCTGAAAAGATGATTTCTGCTTTTCATTACAAGAGTCAATAAATTGTTATTTTTTAAAATCTTAAAATAGTTTGGGTTATTTTTTTCTGTTAACAGCAATCAAATTAGCCCTAACTGATACTGTATACTGCTAGAAAAAAATCTGGATAATATAATACACAGCTATGTTATAACAGTACAAAAGAAAATGTCCCTTTACCATATTGCAAAGACAATACTCACTGGGAGAAAATATTTGCATATGATATGACTGATAAAAGATTAATACCAATATATATAAACAGCTCATACAACTCAACATCAAAAAAAAATTAAAAATAGGCAGAAGAGCTGAATAGACATTATTCCAAAGAGGAAATGCAGATGGCTAACAGGCACATGAAAAAATCCTCAACATTGTTAATCGTCAAGGAAATGCAAATCAAAACTACAATGAGATATCACTGATCAGAATGGCTATTATGCAAAAGGACACAAATAAAAAATACTGGCAAGGATATGGAGAAAAGCGAACACTTGTATACTGTTGGTGGGAATATTAATTGGTGCAGCCACTGTGGAAAATAGTAATGGAGATTTCTCAAAAAACTAAAAGTAGAACTACCATATGACCCAGCAATTCCACTCTTGCGTATATATCTGAAAAAAACAAAAACACTAATTAAAAAAGATACATGCAGCTCAATGTTCATAGAAGCATTATTTACAATTCCCAAGATATGGAAGTGACCTAAGTGTCCACCAACCCCATGCACCAGCAGGCCAGCACCAACCCCAGGACAACCTGGGCCCTGGCCCTGCCCACCAGCAGGCTGACACAAAAAAGGAAGAAGTAAAATTGTCATTGTTCACAGATGACATGATATTATATATAGGAAATCCTAAATATATCACAAAAAACTACTAGAACACATTATGGGTTTGGCAAAGTTCCAGGATACAAAATTAATATATAGAAATCTGTTGCATATCTATACACTAACAGTGAACTATCTAAAAGAGAAGGTAAGAAAACAGTCCCATTTACAATGACATCAAAAAGAATAAATTACCTAGGAATAAACCTAAGGAGGTAAGAAACCTGTACTCAGAAAACTATAAAACACTGATGAAAGAAATTGAGGACAACATAAACAAATGAAAAGATATACCATGTTTATGGATTAGAAAAATTAATATTGTTAAAATGTTAACAATTAATATTAACAATTAATATTGTTAAAACCAAAGGTAATCTACAGATTCAGTGTAATCCCTATCAAAATACCAATGGCATTCACAGAACTAGAAAAAATAATTCTAAAATTTGTATGGAAACATAAAAGACCACAAATAACCAAAACAATCTTGAGAAAGAACAAAGCTGGAGGTATCATGCTTCCTGATTTTAAACTATACTGCAAAGGCATAGTAATCAAAACAGTATTGTACTGGCACAAAAACAAACACATAGATCAATGGAACAGAATAGAGTCTAGAAATAAACCCACACTTATATGGCCAATTAATCTACCACAAAGGAGGCAAGAATATATATGAGGAAAAAGCCTATTCAATAAATGGTGTTGAAGGGAATTCCCTGGTGGTCTAGTGGTTAAGACTCAGTGCTTTCACTTCTGGGGCCTGGGTTTGATCCCTGGTCAGGGAAATAAGATCCCGCAAGCCGCATGGTGCGGCCAAAAAAAAAAAAAAAGTGTTGAGAAAACTGGACAGCTACATACAAAAGAATCAAACTGGACTATTCTTTCATACCATGCACAAAAATAAATTCAAAATGAATTAAAGGCTTAAATGTAAGACTGAAACTATATAAATTCTAGAAGATAATATAGGCAGTACACACTTTAACATCACTATTAGTAATATTTTTTTGAATATGTCTACTCAGTAAAGGGAAACAAAAGCAAAAGTAAACAAATGGTACTACACACTTAAAAGCTTTTGCACTGTGAAGGAAACTATTGACAAAACAAAAACTCCATCTACTGAATGGGAGAAGATATTTGCAAATGACATATCTGATAAGGGGTTAATATGCAAAATATACAAGGAAGTTGTACAACTCAACACCAAAAAACAAATTACCCAATTAAAAACTGGGCAGGAGATCTTAATAAACTTTTTTCCAAGGAAGACATATAGATGATCAACAGGCACATGGAAAGATGCTCAACATCACTCATCATCAGGGAAATGCAAATCAATACCACCATGAAATATCACCTCACACCTGTTAGGATGGCTATTATCAAAAAAGACAACAAATACAAGTATTGGAGAGGATGTGGAGAAAAGGGAACCCTCATGCACTATTGGTGACAATGTAAATTGGTGCAGCCACTATGGAAAACAGTATGAAGATTCCTCAAAAAATTAAAAATAGAACTATCGTATGATCCAGAAATTCTACTCCTGTGTATTTATCTGAAGAAAAAGAGAACACTAATTAGAAAAGATATATGCCCCCTTATGTTCATTGCAGCATTATTTACAATAGCCAACATGTGGAACCAACCTAAGTGGCCATTAATAGATGAATAGATAAAGAAGAAGTGGTATATATATGCAATATAAAAATATATGCCATAAAAAAAAGAATGAAATCTTGCCATTTGTGACCAGTGGATGGACCTAGCGGGTATTATGCTAAGTGAAATATGTCAGGCAGAGAAAGATTAATGTTGTATGATATCACTTATATGTAGAATCTATAAAACAAAACAAATGATCAAGCATAACAAAAGAGAAACTGTTATAGATACAGAGAACAAAAAGGTGATTGACAGAGGAGAGAGGGGTAGGGGAAAGAAAAATAACTGAGGGAGTTTAAGAGGTACAAACTTTCAGTTGCAAAATAAATGAGTCACAGGTATGAAATCTACAATGTGGGGAAATAGTCAATAACTATGTAATATCTTTGTATGACAGATCTTAACTAGACTTATCATGGTGATCATTTTGAAATGTATGGAAATATCAGTTCACTGTGTTGTTAAATAGGAACTAACATAGTGGTATAAGTCAATTATATTAAAAAACAGACAAACAAATTCATAGAAAAAGAGGTCACATTTGTGGTCACCAGAGGCAGGGGTGGAGGAGAAGAAATTGGAGGAGGTGGTCAAAAGGTACAAATTTCCAGTTATAAGATACATAAGTACTAGGAATATGATGAACAACATGATAAATATAATCAACAACACTGTATGTTATACGTGAAAGTTGTTAAAAGAGTAAATCCTAAGAGTTTTCATCACAAGGAAAAATTTCTTTCTATTTTTTAAATTTTGTATCTATACGAGATGATGGATGTTCACTAAACTTATTGCAGTAATCATTTCATGATGTACGTAAGTGCACATTATGGATATATTAAGGTGTACATTATGCTGTACACCTTAAACTTATATAGTGCTGTAAGTCAATTATATCTCAATAAAACTGGAAGAAAAATAAAAAATAAATTAATTAAATAAATTAAATACACTTTTTTCCAGAAAAATAAAAAAGTCTTAGGGGAGCACTTGTTATCCTTCGGGGACAGGCTGAAGATCAGCTCAGAATGAATGGAAGCCCCTCTTTCTCTCTCTGAATCAACTTCATGGCAGTTTAGCCATCAACCTTATAACTGAGATGATTTTCAGGGGTCCTGACTCTCTGTCCCTGAGGATTTCCTTCTCTGGTGTGCTGTGTGCCTCCTCCTTCTACCTGCTTAGTTCCTCAGAGGCTTTTTTGCCTTAAATGGCAAGACTTAAAAGGAATAATATCAGCCAGTTTAACCATTAGCACCAATAACATCATCTTATTGACCCAAACTAAGCAGAGATGAGTGCTCATTAGTATTGTTAATACCTCATTAAGAATGAGGTATTAACAATCCTACTGAGTGGAAGAAATTGGAATCCCACATGTGTATTGGTGGAAAGAAGATGGCCTGCCCAGAATGCCTGTATCCCCAATTGTAGCTGCATGGTGATGAGAAGAGAAGGCTGCTAGGAAACAAAGTTGAACCTTATCTATATTTTTGCCTTACACTAGGTTTAATTATTGATAGGGGTTTCTCTCCCAATTAAAAAATTCAAGCTAATCCATTCAAAATAAACTTGGGAGGGCTCCTTGCCTCCTGTCCCTTATATTCATCATTTCTGCTTCACCATCATGATACTAATAATTTGGTTTCCTCATATTTTCATTGCTCCACAAATAAATAAATGTATTTGGCCTCTGGCCCCCTCACCTTGATTTTAATAAGAAATGATAACTCAGAGAAGGTTAGAGGAAAGAGCACGAATCACTCTTCAATGCCCTTTGCCCATCTTTTATCATGCCAGAATTGTCCCCACTGAGCCAGAAACTACCTCAGGGGACAGCATGAATGTGACAACTGAGAGGCTGAGAGAGCTGGGTGCCCCGCAGGAAACTGAGGGATAGGAAAACCACAAAACCTAAAGGCAGAGAAAAGAGCTGAACAAAAGGGTGAGAAATATAGAGACCAGCAGGAAGGAGAGTAAAGCAAAATCGAGAAACAAATAAGAAATAAAACTGCTATAGAGATAGAAACCATAGCATGAAGGCAGAAAAATATCAGAGAAAGGGAAATAAAGAATGAACAAAACTGATCATCAACAGCAGAGAAATGGAGGAAGAGAATCAATACCGAAGCCAGGGAGAGGACCAAAAGAAGAACAGCTAAATGCTTGAATTGATGAAGATAATGACAGTAATTACAACTTGGAGAGGTACAGAAGGCCAAAAACAGAGCAGGAAAATGGAAAAATAGGATATGGCAGTGAAAAAAGGATCATTATGAAAGAGATCTTGGCCACCGCTGGTAAAAATGAAAAACAAATATGTTTTCAAAGTGTTTTCTAGGGGGCTGGAGGAGGAGGTGAGGCATTGCCACTTCTACCGATTCCCTTGGTCACCACAGAGAATCTGCGAGGTGGGTGCTGCAAACAGAGCACATTAGAGATGAGTTGGGACAACTCCCTCCACCCCTATGGAGACTGTTGTATTTACAAACCTAGTCCCTATTGGAATCCAGGCTGTTGAGAAATTTAACTTTGGGAATTTATTAAGGGTTGTTAAGCCCCAGGTTTTAGGTCTGGGACAGCCGTTTTTACAAGTTGAGTGGTGGTCATTTCTCCAGCATTTAACTGGGTGGTTTACCAGGGAGAGAGGGAAGCGAAGTAGAAGGTAGTTCTCTCCGGTGTTCTGGGGGCAAAACACTGGCTGATCAGCTCCTGGGCCGACACCCCTCCTCCCGAGTAAGAAAAAAGACGATGGCGGTGGGTGGGGGCGGGGAGGGGCACTGATCTAACACCTTCCCTCTGTACTTACTTCGAGGAAGATCGACATGCCCTTTGACAGCTGCAGCTCAGAGCTGAGCTCTTCCGAGGAGTTGTTGGAGGACGGCGACGTCTCCCGGGAATCCTCCATTCTTGGGAGCCCTGATGGCCGGGAGCGTGAGTGGAGCTTGGCGGCTGCACAGACTCAGGCAGAGGATGCCGCACTGCCGTCTCTGCCCCGCCCGCTGCTGGGCTCGGGATCCGGAGCTGGTGTTCGCTTCCCGGCGAGCCTCACTCCTGTCTCTTTCTGGCTCGCTCTCCCCCTCCTTACCTCTGTCCCCCCGCGCTCCCACGTGCTCTGACTCGCGCCTCCCCCACTTCCCTTGGCTGCAGCGACTGGATCAGTCTCATCCCTGCACGTAGCAAAGCGCTGCTCCACTTTGTGGGGGAGTGGACTCTGACCGTCCCCCCCTTCCTGCACCGCCATCGGCCTTGGCTGAATGTAACACTGAGGTATCTGCCCACTCCATAACAGTCCCACATGCAGCGAGAAAGGAGGTAGCCCAGGCAGAGAGGGGGAACAGATGGAAAGGTGTCTTGAGAAGCAAGAGAACAAAGTAAGGACGCCCCTAAGCTCACCCCGGGTAGAAACCATATGAGTTAGAGAGATTCCAAGAGGTTTTGCCAACTTTGCTTTTGAACAAGTGCACCTGTCTTTCCTACCCTCCCCAAAGACCGGTACATGGATACCACCAACCAAAGAGGGGCTGGATTAGTGTGAGGATAAAATCACACATTTTTGGAATCTTGGATGCCCAGGTTCAGAACCTGCCCTGGTTAATTTGTCATTTTGTGATCTAGCAAGTCACTAAATCATTTAGCCTCGGTTTTCCTCATCAGGAAAATGAATCACAATAGCAGTGCTTACCTCAAAGGGTTCTGTGGCTTAAATGTGGTAGTGCCATGGTCAAGGGTATGGACTCTGCATACAGTGAGCATAAAAAAAAAAAAAGTTCTCTATGTGGAAAAGATTGTCAGGTAATGTTCAAGCAAGTTTTCCAAAGGTGAAGTCACAATAAAGGATGCAATACCTATCTATGCTTAAGAATGTAAACGAGGGCAGTTATTCAACATTTGAGGTCTGCAAAAATGGTAACCTCACCTTCCATCAGGATAGATATCCACTGTGCTTCTAAAATGTGCACAGTACATACCAGTTGCTGTGTGGGTTACAAAGTTGAACTGTCTCAGAGCAAGATGAGTCAAAGAAAATAGCACTTTTTTTCAGACAAGACTCTGCCTGTGAGAATTGATGGGGTGGATCCAGATCTCCGTTTGGTGGCCTCCAAGAAAAGAGAACATGTTCTTTCTATAAGACAAGTGCACAAACTACCAGGACAAAATGTGAGTTCCTTAAGGCATATAAAAAAGTGCTACGGGTTTCTTAGGAGGAACAGTTTATAATTTAGCTTATGGGACCAAGAGAGGCCTGATAAAAGAGGTAGTATTTGAAATACTCCTGATCTTAGATCTTAAAAATTGGTAGATATTCCATAGTTGATAGAATAGAAGGAAAGGTCATTCCAGGTAGAGAGAACAGCATGAGCAAAGGCATGACACCCAGGAAAGTACATGGAAATCTGTAATTAGTCTACTGGAATCCCTGAAAACATACAGAATCCCAGTCTACATCACAGGCTTCCTGAATCAGAATATCAAAGTATGAGACCCAAGAATCTAAGTCCTTCTTTCACCCATGATTCATACACTGGTGCTCTGTAGCAGGGGCAAGACTAGGGTGAGACTGATAAATGGCCTTGGGCACAAAATGTAAGGAGGTGTTACCCTGCACTTGCATGATCCTGAGAGTGACTGCCTTTGCACCCTAGGTATCTCATTCGCCTCACCCAAGTCCCAGCCCTGCTCTGTAGATCAGTATTTGCAAGAAATGGATCCAGCTCTTCTCAACTTTGGCTGTACATTGGAATTACCAGGGGGTGTATGGCAACTTTTGTTATGGCCACAATTTCATTGACACTCTTCCTGTAGAGACGTGAGTCCCCTCCCCTTGAATCTGAAGGATTGTGACTGCTTCAATGAATAAAATGCAGCAAAAGTGATGCTATGCTTTCTGAGTCTAGGTATATAAAAAGCATCACAATGTCACCTTTTTTCAGTGGAATATTTGCTCCTGGAGTCCTGGGATTCCTATAGGAAATCCAACTACCTTGAGCCACCATGCTTTGAGGAAGCCCAAGCTGTATGGAGGAGCAGAGTAGACACCCTGGCTGACAGTACTATCTGAACTCAGCCTTTGAGTCATCTCAGCCTAAGTGGCAGAAAAGTGAATGAAGAAGCCTCTAGATGATTCCAGCACATAGCTGTTTGAGACACACCTAGCCATTTTTGTTGTCTCAGCCAAGATCTCAAATATCATAGAGCAGAGACACACCATCAGTGCCGTGCCTTGTCTAAATTCTTAACCCACAGAATTCAGGAGCATAATAAAATGGTTACTGTTTTATACAAATAAGTCTTGGTATGGGTTTGTTTTGTGACAATAGATAACAAAAATAAGGAGCTTTAAAAAAAAAAACACAGATAAAACAAATTGATACCTGAGCTTCATCTCCAGGTTCATAGTCAATTAGCACGCAGCTGCACCTGGGCATCAGTGTTTAAAAATGAAAAGCTTCCCAGGTGATTATGTTGTACAGCCAAGATTAAGAACCACTGAACTGATCTGTACTATATATACAGGACAGAATAAAATATCAGAAGACAGGCTTGAAGACATTTGAAGTCCAGAACTCTAGACTTAATTAGGTAGAGACGTGAAAGACTTTAGACTAAGGGCAGATATTGATTAGAGCTGTACTTTAGAAATATTAATCTAACATCTTTTGGTGATTTTACCTTATTAACTGTAAATCTCATTATCTGAACTGCCCCTTTCTTTTGACAAATATTCATCAAAAGAAAATACAAAATCATTAAAAAACAGACTGACCAACTCATCAAAAGGATACTGGTCATTCACATCACTGAAGAAGAAAAACAAGAAGGAGAAGGAGGAGGGGAACTAATAATGAACATTGTTACCAAGTTTATAAAAATACAATATTATTTGTTCTTGCCGTTGGATGGAGTGTTGAATAGGTTTTTCTGCAACAAGTGCAGTTTAGGTCTGATCCCTCTAACCCAAGCTGTGGGTCCCTCAGTCCTTAAATTCATCCCTGCAAGTGATAATATTTTTATGCCAATCCCATGGTAATAACAGCAGGTGTTGAAGAAGAGTTTCTGTGATTATAAATGAAGAATAGGAGAATAATTAGTAGTCATCATTCAAAACCAGGGAGCTATTTGTAACATTTCAGAAAATATGTTCCTTTTACCTTTGTTGACATGAATGATATTTTCTGTTATTTCCTCTAACCATCTGTCAAGAGGAAGTATAAATTTTTAAACAACTAGTCAGTAATGTTTTTTACTATTTCAACATGAACACCATATTGCTATACCTGAGTTCTCTATTTAATGGAAATGTAATGTTCATAGAAGGCTTCAGTAGAAATGGATAGCAATTAGATTTCCATTCACCGACATTCAATAGGCACTACAAAGTGGTAACCATACTTTTGGTTTTCTTTTTATACACACAGTGTGCATTTTTGAAAACTGTTTTCACACATTATTTTTGTGAAACACAGATGCTTCACTGTGTATAGTATCAGTCACAAACAAGAGACAACCAACTTGAGAGAGGAAATGCATCTTCTGACCAACCTCTTGTAGCAAAATCATGGTTGGAGGGTTGGCGGGGTGGAGTGGGTGGAGAGGAATGTCATTCTAAATTCCAGCTCTTGGGCTTCTAATAAGACTTTGACACAAAGGTATTTCTAGCATTTCAGGAGATAGCCGTGTGAGGATGTATTGTATTTCAATCTGTCTCTGCTTCATGGAGGAACTATTATCTAAACGATTTCAGACAGCCAGGAATCTATCTTATTTGTATTTTAAAAATTTTACAGAAGGCCATCCTTTGGAACGATGACTCAGAAACCTTTCAGTCAGTTTGGTGGATATTTTTGTTTCTTTGGCAGCCTAAGATCAAACCGTCGTCCTCATCTAGGCACCTGTTCCATGGTATGGATCCTGTTCAGGGGCAGGACTCACCTCTTCCAAGGAGGGAAGATGGTCCCTCTCCCTTTCCCCTGGCAGCTGGAGCAGAGTCTGAGATCTAGGATGTTTCACTTGGGACTTTAAATCTGTATCAAGGTACATGAAAGGAAACAGTATCAGTGAGCAAAAGCAGTGCAGTGTCAAGTGGCCACAAAGCCAATGGAGCCCCTGAAGACAAGTTAACTGGTATAATAGGAGATCTTTGGCTGTGATTTCAGCAGTCTTGTCCTCCAAGCTTAATCTCCAGCCTTGCTATCAACTTTCTGAGTGACTTGGTATCCATCCAAAATACAGAATATTTGTCTTTCTCTGTTTGGCTTATTTCACTCAGCATAATGCCCTCAAGGTCCATTTATATTGTCACAAGCAGCAGGATTTCCTTCTTTCTCATGGCTGAATAATATTAAATTGTATATATAAACCACATCTTCTTTATTCATTCTTCCATCAGTGGACACTTAGGCTGTTTCCATATCTTGGCTATTGTGAATAATGCTGCAATGGACATGTGGATGAAAGTATCTCTTCAAGATCCTGTTTTCATTTCTTTGGATATATACCCAGGAGTCGGATGGCTAGATCATATGGTAGTTCTATTTTTAATTTTTGCAGGAACCTCCATTTTTTGTGGTAGCTACACCATGGAAAAGTTAGTTAGAAAACTCTGAAAAGTTAGTGAGAGTTAGTTTTTGATGCTTTAACTCTGATAAATTCAATCTAAATTTCTCTTGTTAAAGAGAACCATTTGGTAAGTCATTGGGGAAAAAATTTGTTAGAAAAATTAATTCTATTTGGATATCTGTTAAGTGTCTGCTTCATGCCACCAACTGACACGCATAGCTGAGGAAATGATGAAAAAGACTGGTCCTCGCTCTTGCAGAACATGTGTGACTTAAAGAGACACTATTTTAATAGATAACTTTAATACAGTGAGACAAGAGTACCACCAGAGGCTTGCAGTAAATGCTGAGAGAAGACAGAAAATGGCACAGCTCCCCATTAGCACCTATTCTGCATGACCATTTATGTAACTGTAGATCACAAAATTAGGACTTGAGAGTAGTAAGTGCCATTGGGCCAAAAATAGCCATTATTCTATGCTCCTGGGCTGTTGCCTTGGCATTCTCTGCCTAGAA